TCCACCCCCAACCCCTTTAAAACACATAAACACATATGCATGTAGCATATATTCAAGTGTTAACCAAGCCAAACGAAGAGATATATTCACATTATCAAACTCAAGTAAGCTTGTATTTTTATTTGTGTCTCAGCTTTAATTTATTCATTATTTTTTTGGCTTTCTATTGTGTGTGTGTGTGTAATTTCCAAGTTTTTTTTTTTATTATTATTATATTTTTTTTCTGTAATCTAAGTTTGTGTTCATATTTGTTTTTTTTCTTTTCCCCTCTTTGATTAGGTTTTTATGTCATAATTAATTATGAATTCTTTAATAAAATATAATTCAAATAGTGAAATTATTCATGTGTTGTTTTTCTCTATCCGGGAAATCCAAGAGGGGGTGGTTTTTTCTATGCTACACCCGATCGATGTTAAATCGGGTGAATTTTTACAGTTGATCTACACATACCAATGTGGGTGTGTGTGTTTGTGTGCTTATGGATGGAAAAGATTTGTCTGACGTATTTCACTATACGTATTTCACTATGTCCGAAGTATTTCACGTCTGAAGTATTTCACCCAGTGTAGCATGGTAAAAATCGGGGTAGAGGGGTTAAATTTTTTTATTATCCTAGGGGGTCACATGCATACTAATTATTTGCTATTTCTTTATTCATTAGGATATGTGTTAAATGTTAATTATATTGTGAAGTTGAAAAATAAATCTACTCACTTGGAAGCTTAGATCAATTCGACTTGCTTATTTAAAAAAATAAAAAAAATTGTATAAATGTATTAAATCAAATCGTCGATTATTTAAAATGTTGTTTACTCGGCCTATGATTATTTTTTTGGTTTGTTTTGACAATGTATTTTAACGAACAGGTCGAAAATTATGAACAAGCTGGCAGGGAAAAGGGAGCAACAAGAATTTGATGCAAGAGGCTATAACTTATATGAAGCTGGATGGCATTATGGTAATATCGGAGATAATCATGGCTCATCGAATACACAATCGAGAAGCTCGTTCGCTTTGACTTACACGAATCAGCTAAATAAACGTTCGTTTGGTTTTTCATTACGAATGTAGTATATGCATATATTCGATTAGCTAAAATAATTTTTATATAGTGCCTTCTACAAGAGGTGAAGATTTAATGCCAGGGACTCGACGAAATCAAGCTGGCAGCTCAAATGTGAGAAAAAATTAAATTTATTTGGACATTTAATTTGTCGAAGCAGCAATTTTTCGGACCTGTCGTTGTATATTTACGCAATTATTTGTCCGACTCTATTTCATGGATGCACTCGATATTCTAATTAGGTCCTAATTAGAATCTAATCTATGATTGTGTACTAATCTTTTCAGATATATCCGGAGGCACATAAACCGCCTCACTGTGAAATGACGAATTCGCCCTTTGTATTGTCGGAGGAGCCTGTTTATGTGAATGCCAAACAGTACCATGCAATTCTGAGGCGAAGAAAATTCCGTGCCAGGGCTGAAATGGAAAATAAATCTACAAGAGATAGAACAAAGGTTTGTATCTATCGATCGATTATTCGATCCGCCATTTATGCAACAATCTAAAATATCTTTATTTTTTTATTTATCAGCCATATCTTCACGAATCTCGACATTTGCATGCGGTGAGAAGGGCGAGGGGGTGTGGAGGCCGTTTTGCGAACAAGAAGAAATCTCATGGCGAATGTGAAAATGCTAATCTTGATGAGGGTAAAAACGTCAATGTTTCACCGGTATGTGGTGGACTAGTCGAACGTGGCAATGAATCCGAGAGGCTTCTAGAAACTAAAAACGGTGTGGAATTCTTCCATAGTTTTTTGTCCATGTAATAACAACTTGTTTGTGTCATGTGAGATGGTCCAATGTATACTTTGTACATTATATATAGAGTGTTATATGTAATGTAAATATATTTTGAAAGGTCTTGTGTAATAATAATATGGTTTATGTTAAAAATATATGCAGTAATTAATTAATAATTGAATCTCATTTGATATTTAATTAATTCAACAACTTCTCAAAGCTAAACCTCAAAATTTTGCTCTTATCAACCATGAAATTGCAAGTATCTTTTTGGAATAAACTCAATGTGATAACCAAACAAGACCTTACGCAGAAGTCGAAATTTTTTTGCCATGAATAACGCATGTAAACACAACGAAAAAGCTTACAATTCAAACAAATCTAAGCCGCTGCGCGAATAATTCTCTCTCTCTCTCTCTCTCTCTGGAAGTAAAGGCTACTCAAAATTGCTATCGATCAGAATCCGAGAAGCATGAAGTTACCCTTCAACTTCAATAAAATAACAACATGCCGAAGAAAATGAAAAAGGGACGAACAAAAAAAAGTCGTTAGACGAGAAAAAAATGAGGTTGTTAGTTCAGCACTTGGGCACCAATCACGCCATTCAAGGAAGATTCCACCCCGTAAATATCGAGACCCCTAGTCCGAGCGGGGGCCCCACCTTTGATCGAAGCTAAATCCAACACATACCTACAATAAATAACCCATCAGAGGACTTAGAAAAAATCACATAAACCAATCAACGTGTGGTAATTGGTTAAAAACGAATCTCGCACTCACATGTTTACACCCGACTTTTCTTGCTCTGACGCACCACAGTTTATTAGAACCTTCTCGTCAATTTTAGATACCGTGTGTTCCATAGGCACGTGAATCAAATCTAAAATCCGATCAAAACACAACACCAAAAATAATTACACGATGTCGGTTTCATTTTTAAAGAATAAAGATAGTCTCGATGAAATTAAACGACGTATACCTGATTTGTGGCTAGGCTTGACAGCATGACCAAGATTCAAAAGTTCCTAAAAAGATGTAATCGAAATGAATTCACGGTTATATAAGAAATTCAATTATGATGAACTTAAACAACTTATACGATTTAAATAAATAAAAAAAATCACCTTAAGTTTCTCGTAACACTTATCGAGGTCATCATTAACCAAAAGATGATCAAAGAGACCAGGTGAAGTCCCCTGTTCGAGTTCCGCCTTAGCATTTCTGAGCCGTTTTTGGATCTGTTCTTCGGTTTCAGTTCCCCTATTTATATAATTACGAATATTTTGCTCAATAAAGGGTATTTTTACAATGTCAAATAAGCAAAAAAATAAAACTGAAACCCTAAATCTAGCCAACCTTGAGCGAAGGCGTTTCTCAAGCTCCTCAAACGAGGGAGGACATATAAAGACAAAAATAGCCTCGAGAGAAGTCGCCCTCACCGATCTTGCCCCTTGCACATCAATGTCAAGGATGCATCTCTACAATATAAAATCATTTTTATATTTTTCTTAAAACCTATTTTTATTTTCGTTTCCCTCTTATTGCCAAGAAAATCAAGAATCAGACAAGTTTTTAAGGTTTTACCTTTCCTTTGTCAGCAACAACGTCAACGGCTTCTACACTAGTCCCGTAAAGATTCCCATGAACGGCAGCAAACTCTAGAAACTTCCCGTTATCAATATCTTTCTCCATTTTATTACGCTCCGTAAAATGATAGTGGACCCCATTTCGCTCGTTGTTCCTCGGTGATCGAGTTGTGTGGCTTACGGAAAATCCGAACATAAACGGAAATTCTTCCATCAGCTTCGAAATTAGTGTACCTTTACCCACACCAGATGGACCGCTAATAACCAACGGCTTTTCAGCTTCGCCTATCACTGCTTTACTCCAAGCAACTACTTCAGCCCCTAATCGAGTTTTCTGCTCTCTCACAAATGGAGTGTTAACCTGAAAATTGAGTAAAAACGAACACATTTTTATTTTATTGTATTCATTTTTTTTCCAAATAGGAACTAGAAATAACTAGAAACGGAGCTTAAAACAAACCTCGAGAAACCAGAAGCTATCATCGGAGTTCGTGTTCCCCTTAATAACCAAAATCCGATCTTCGTCTAAGAGAATAGCAGAGTGGCTTTTCGTTGGCTTCGGTTTTGTTCCCAACACAATGGGGTCCACACTAGAAAGATAAATACAAGTCTTAGTTAGACGAATTCAATAACATTAAACGAAAACCGAAGCCCGAAACCCGGGTAGTGCTTAAGAAATATTACCATTCGCCGGTGGATTTATCGAAAATTTGAATTCCAATAGATTTTTCGTCAGATTCGCCAATGATATACTGATACAGATAAAAAAGGTACACGAATAAAAAAAATGAAATGAAGGAGATTATTAATTTTCGATAAATTGGATATCCATACTGTTCTATCGCAACCAATGTCGATCGAAGTTCGACACCCCTTAGACTTCAAGTGAAGCCCGTTAGTGAAATTGCCCTCGAGATAGTCTACAACGAATGCAGGAGCTTCTCCCTGATCATAACACATTCAATCGAAACAAAACGTTTAAACAATTTGAATTAAAAAAAGTATATATATATATATATATATATAAAGAACCGATGAAGTTACTACTTCGATCCGTCGATTAAAACTTCGAATTTTTTTTATTATTAATTTAATTTTCTGCTTATGAAAATACAGAACAAGACATCAGAAATACGAGCTCACCATAGATTTTCCAATGATCAACCAATCAACAACTAATTCTGTCAAAAAAAAAAAAAAACAACAAAATAATAATTGATGAGATTAAAATCATTAAATTCAAAAAAAATCAATCCGCCGTCAAATAATTCGAATCACAAAAAAGAATAAAAAAAATGGTAAACCTAAATCCCACATTTTCAGCCGCCATTCCATTTTAATCATAACAAACAAAACACACAATTAAACACATGCGTATTAAATTCTTCGAAATGCAATGAAGCATACCTGTAAATTTATGCTGAATCGTCGTCAGAAGATACCGAATCTAGAAAGAAGAAGATTAAGGTTTGAGTTACAAAAGTTGAGAAAGGTTGAAAACGACGACGCATTAGCTGCGAATGAATCTCGGGAGGAAGTCTCTCTCATATTTCGAGAACCAGGTTTAATTATTATACAAATTAAATTGGCGTTAACTCCGTGTGATTGTCTCTGTGTGCGTGCGTGTGTGCGTGCGCACGTGTGTGTGTGAGAGAGAGAGAGAGAGAGAGAGAGAGAGAGAGAGAAGAGAGAGAGACAGAGGTGTATTGAGGAGTTCTGGGCTTAGGGCCCAGTAGCCCATTAAGAGAATATTGGACATGCACAATTGTAGGGTAAAGTTACTTATTGCAATATTAATCTTAACTATAAATATATAATTATAAATAATACTATAAAATAATTATAACAATTGAATAACTAATGTTAATAAATTATTAATTGTCAGGTTCATTATCTTTAATATTAAAAATCTCACCTAATAACAAATACATATATATTTAAAAATCTCCCCTAATAACAAATGCATATATAAATAATTACGATTTAATTTAAAAGAAAGATTGAATTTTGAAAAAAAAATTAGTTTTGAAATTATGAAAAATTTCTCATATTAATTATTATTAAATAATTTTAATTAAATAATTAACAAATGCAAAATAATAAACTTTTAAAAAAATATATAGAATCACGGTTCAATACATCAAAACATCTATTATTAATTACTATATCAATATAATCTCCACTATTGAAAAATATAAAGTATTGACTCAATTCAATATATAAACAAATGCGTTGACTTATTACAAATTAACTTATGTTATTAAAATCGACCGTGTGAAAAAATCGAATGAAAAATAAAATAATATGTTTATTTAAAAAAATAGATTATAACTCATTTCAATTAATTTAAATCGATTAACATCAATTATTGACAAGAACTTATTAATATTATTGAGTATGTTATCATAAGATGATTAATTAAAAATATAAATCTCGACTAGTAACAAATTTAAATCGATTAACCTCAATTGTTGACAAGAACTTATTAATATTTATAAATTATTAATGTCAAAAATCTTGACTAGTAACAAATGCATATATATTTAATTTTGAAAAATATAAAAAAAATACGATTTAATTTACAAGAAAGATTGAATTTTGATATTTTTTGAATTTTGAAATTTTGAAAAATTTCTCACTTATTACTTTCACTTATAAATACCCATAATTCAATCTTCACAACTTTAATTTTATTTAGTTTATGTCTCAAAGTCTTAATCGTTTCATTTTTTTCTAAAATTGTTTAGTGTTTATTTCGGGTCGCCCCGGACCCGGACCCGCCTCCCCGCGGGTCGATTTCGGGTCCCCGAAAAGTCGGACCCGGACCCGGCGGGTCCGATCCGGACCCGGACCCGACCTGCCCCGTGGCCATGTCTAATTCCGACCATGGAGAAACCCTACAAGAGAGGTCACGACACTGAATTGCCGCCTCTAGAAGCAACGAGTTCAACTAGAGGCTTCACACATGCGGTAGCTTCTTCAATAGATAGTGCTCTTGTGTTACGAAAGAGCATACATCATAATTTGGCAGCATTCTCCTTCAGCTGCATTGAACACTTTGACGATATAATTTTGCATGCCGCTTTAGCAGTGTTTTTTCAATCATTGAAAACTATGAGATTTCTGAAGGGATGCTCATTCAACAGCCTAACCAATGCAGTGACAACAACTTGCTACTCTTTCTCCTGCTGCCCTATAGTCAGAAAGTTATCCAATGGTTGAACAACATGCATGGAAGATTCACGCCTCCTTACATCGTCAGCAGAAAACAAGATTTCCAGGGCTTTAACAGCACTATGCTTTGCTTCTCTTCCACCAGAACGCAGAATTTCTACAAGTGAACCAACAACATCAAAAGCAGAACTGTGTCCTGGTACGCGTAAAACCTACGTATGAAAAATCACAAGTGTACAATATCGCGTTTTGTAGAATAGTGAATTCCAGATATCGATCCATAGGGAATTAAGTTCTTAAATTTATCAAGTACCGTAATTATACTATCCTAAACTTTATCTAGACATACGAAAGAATGGGATGGGAGAAATGAAGGTAAAAAGAAACAAACAATAATAAAAACAACGGCCCGCCAATAAAAGCGAGGAATTCCGACGTGTGATGGCTTCTAGGGCAAAATTCACCAGTGTAGTATCGAAAAAGATCTGCAAATCCGAATCTAATGTCAATTCAATATTCGCTAACCCAGACACTAAAATACCCTAACCCCGTTTCCAGTGTAGTTAGAGTCTACCCACAAGTCCGACGTCTCCGTTGAGAACCTGATATTAAGAGAGCATTTAGGTCAAGTCCTTAAGGGCTACCTAGGGTGTATCACGTCTCCGTTTCCACAACTCGAGCTATGTTTTCCTAAAATCAAATGAGAAATCTTCTCTCGAGTTCATTCTCATTTACAATCAATTCAACTGTTGGCCAAACAATTGAAATCATTTAATACAGGAAAACATAAACATAATCAAAGAACGACAAATAGATCACAGATCTGGAAATCAAAATCAATATATACAAGGTTTCATTTCCCTTAAAAGAAAATGCTTAGATCATTACAAACATAGCATCCAAATGAAGAACACGAGAAATCATACACTAAACGTAAAGAAAAAGCTTATGAAAAACCCGAGTTGAAACCCTCGTCGAAGCTTCCCACGAAGAACTGGCGAGAATCGAAGAGAAAACCGAAGAAAAAGTCGAGAGATTGTCGAGAGCTCGAAAAATGAAAAAAAAAGACGTTCTATTTATAGTGAGAAATCAAAGAAAAATATCTTATCTCGATTTATTTGCCCATATCGCGATCTGGGCTTCTTGGATCGCGGTCTGGCAGCCTCTGAAACTGTGCACCGCCTTCTCAGATCGCGATCCAGGAGGTTCGGATCGCGATATGCCTCAATTTTTCGCTGCTACTGGAATTTGCCACCAAATCGTGATCCGGTGGTGCTGGATCGCGATCTGGCCTCTGCATCAACTTCAAACACTATTTAGACCCTTGTTTAGCCCGAATTTGACAAATATGCATTTCACAAAAGTTGTAGTCCTTGAAGTTGGCTATCTATATTCACTTGAATCAACTCAATCGAAGTTCGTACGCGAGAGTTATGCTTGAAATACCAAACACTGCCGCAACCCACGAGAATGCACTTTTACATGTGTTTGGCTTGGTTCTCGGCTTCGCTTTCAAAATCGTTTCGAATCGGCAAAAATAGCTTATCTTTACCTAAAATATAAATAAAACAAAAACAACATAATATATACAAATAAACCCGAAAACTCAGACGAACGAATACCAAAACTCAAAGAATTGATAAGTCAAAATCATGAAAAATAAACACTTATCATGTCCTCTTACCTAACTTGTGCTAAACAGAATGGCAGTAAATCGATAGCAACTTTCTCAGATGCATCTTGTGGGCTTAGTGATAGATATTCGATTAACCTTTCCAACGCCCCGGACTCCACCATAGCAGTTTCATTGAGAGAATGACAATCGGCAAGCTGAATTAGAAAGCCTAGAGCAAGAAAAAGTGCCCGGCCCAGGGCGATCGGGAACAGGTATAAGCAAATCAACAAGGGCTGGTATCGCTTTCCAAGAAGTTGCGCCATCCCTGATGCTATCAACCCTAAACAATTTCTCAAGAACAGCCTTGGAAGGATCGTAAATCAAATTAAACTCTTTTGACAATTCTACAAGATCATTTATCTCATCGTTGGCACATCCGAGCAGGGAAAGAAGTAGCGTTGGTGCCCCTGAATTTGTAGCAGACGTAATAGCTTCCCTGCTACCGTTCGAGACCAAACTGACCATGGCTTTGGCAGCGAAATATCTCTTTGCCACATCTTTTGTCCTCGACATATAATTAGCTAGCACGTTCATAGTGTGCTCTGCACGTGGGCTCTTGCTATTTTGAAATAAGATTGCTAATAATAGGGTACATACCTATATACTGCCATCTTCCTTTACACTGCAAAATTAATTGATAGAATGTTATAAATCAGCATTTAGACTCACTGCCATCATGAATGAATATGAGAACAAGTTCATACAAGTTCATACAATAACTGGTTTTACATACAATATCTCAAAAGCTCTTTTTATTAAATAAATGACTTATAAACTGAATACCTTTGCTGCTGCTGCCGCCTACACTTTCTCGGTGAGAATTCTAACTGCACCAGCTCCTTCATCCAAGCAATTGTAAAGGGAACAAGTCGTGAGAAATGGTATTAGAGTCCGGCTAGGGCTTGGTGTTGATCGAATTCTCAAGCGATGACGAACGTCGAAAATATTTCGTACATAACCGAGTGAGATAACAAGTCAACCTTAGTGCAAAACAAGTCCCATAAACTAAAATTATACTAGTTTAAAATATGAACTCTTAAACTGAAGAAAAATCTAAAAGATATTTGGATGAAAATGACACCAAATCTATAGAAACTAAGTGAATTAACAAGGTACACATCACACCGAATCATTTCAAATATTATAGAAATTATAATAAAAAATAACATGTCTTTCAATTTCAAAAAAAAAAATTGATTTAATTTTTCTTTCAATTGGACAGTAACTAGACGTTGTTTTGGCCATTTCTTTTATTTGATTTAAAAAAAAAAAATTGCACAAAAAACCCTGATTTTCACTCGAATACCGATATTTACGGTTCAACCAGCTGAACCGGACCAGACAAGAAAATGGTTCACGATTTAACCGGTTCATATTATATATATAGTTTCATATTAAAAGTGTCAAAAAAAAAGCCTAGAAATAGGGGGCGAAATTGGAGGGCCGTGTGTGTGTGTGTGTGTATATATATATATATATATATATATATATATATATATATATATATATATATATATATACCATATTGATTTTTATTGCAAATAATATTTACATATATTACTTAGAAAGTGATCGATGAACATTGGTATATATATATGTATATATATAATCAAAAGAAAGAGCGTTTAATTGGGGGTCGTCCCACAGCTCTCATCAAGTTGGCAATTTCGAGAACTTTGGCAACTTTTGTGCCTCTTTTGGCCTCGGCGGAAGCTCTTCTTTCTTCTGCTCTCCTATGAGCTTTTGCAATGTCATTCTGCATTTTCTCCATTGCTTTTGCTCTTTTCTCCTCTAGCTTTCTCTGCATTATATATATATATATATATATATATATATATATATATATATATATATATATATATATATTAATTAATTAGTAACTGATTATCTAGAATATATTTAAGGAGAATAGAGAATTCCATTCTACAAGAAATAGGCAGATGTTTTTAGCCTTCCACTTAATGCTTATACAGATTACAAGATGTAAATGAATTTTACCTTTACTAATTACTATATAGCAACTAATTGTGTGTTTAACTAGTTGTGCAACTAATTAGTAAGGGTCATGGGCATCATCAACCACTACTTTTGAAATATTTCTCAATTAAGTTTGCATGAATTATTAATTAGGCCACAAGATCACATCATGTAGATTCAAAACTGTCAAATAATTCAAGTTTCAAACCAAAAAATGGAATTAAAAAAAGATGACTATAAGATGAGAATATATATATATATATATATATATATATATATAAACTAGAAAATTGCATGCATATTCATTTTTTTGCTTTTCAGATTAATTAATCAAATACCTCTATTTTCTTCATCCAAGAGCTTGCCTTCTGGACTTGCTCACCCTCCCAACCATTGATAACGGCATCCTCGCGCTTAAACCGATTGTTAATCTTTGCGATTTTTGCATTTTGCCAAGCACTAATCTTTGTATCGACCTCCTCTTTCTTAACTCGTTGCACCGACACTTCACCTCCCGTATTATGATTACTATTTGTAGTAATAAGTTCAAGTCCACCACCACCACCGCCGTCACCACCAGGCGGCGATCGTGTGGGGCCCAGTGGATGATTGTCCGGCACAATCGCCAAGGGGTTGATTTCTTCATGAAAATGATGATCATCTTCCCCTATTATGTCCAAGTTATTATTGTTATTCGAACTCGATTCGTGTTCAATGTTGACAGTGGACCCCGCCATGACAAGGGCACTAAACTCTCTACTCATAGTAGTGAAATTCTCACCGGACGATGCTACGGAGAGGGACGACGATCTACGGCTACTACTCTCCCAAGTTTCCCGACGCGTGCCCTGCGGGGCTCGCGGTGGTGTCAGGGCGTGGATATCCCTGACGGTTGGAGATTCTTCATCGTCGTCATCTTCTTGGAGAATATTATTGTTGTTGCTCCGGCTTGTGGTGGCTATGGTTAGAGCCCTTTGATTATTCATCACTTAGCAAAGTTTTTGTAGATGTGTGTGTGTGTGTTTGTGTGTGTGTTTGTGTGTGATGTTGTGTGTTTGGTGTGTGTGTGTGTTTTGTGGAAGAGAATATTAACCACACATGCATGCAAGAGTTTTTATTTTTTGGAATTGATTGCACTAATTATTGCTTGGATATTGTGGCACTAATTCACGATGATCAATGGGTACAACTTTTAATTTTGCTCGATTTTATTGTTTGGTCCCTTTGTTTTTGGTTTATTAAATTATTGCTATTTTGACAATAAAATTTACATGCCAAATTATGACATTTATAATATCATATACTTAGTCTCTTAACTCTTATGGTTAGTTTACTTCTTTAGTTGGAACAATGACATTTTAGTCACCAACCCTCAATAGGAGAGTTGGTACCTAACCTTTACCAATAGGGTAAAGGTCTAGGGTTCGAGTCCCCCCCTCCCCTACTTCCCCTTGTAATGGACTTGAATTTACTCAAAAAAAAAAAAAATGACATTTTAGTCAATATTGAATGGGTCTGAATATTTTGTCTAATGGTGGAAATTGGACTGAGCGAATCAAAATAAAAATATTCGGAAAAATGAAATTTGTAAATCAACAAAACAAAAAAATCACAAATCGAAATTCGGAACGAAAATACTTATTCCGAAAAAATCGAATCAAGAACGGCTTAAGCCATGCAAAATTATTATTTTCACAACGATTTTCGTCAACCTTTACGATAAAACTTTCCCCAAAAAAATTCAATGTCTAAAATCAAGTAATCAAATTGCAAACAAAAATAACTAAGTGGTCAAATGTGAAATATCCAACAATTAGAGGGGCTTGATTGCGAAACGTTCATCTTGCGTTGGCCAAATGATTTTGATTTTTGGAGGGAGCCCGTGAAATTAGGTAACTGATGGTGGATTAGTCACAATCAACACACGCGGCGCACTCTAATTAATCAACTAATTTGAATCAATTAACTTGGCGATTTATTATTGGTTAAGCTCTTCTATGTGGGTCCCACAATTTTTATTAGGGACACGTGTACAGTTGAATTAGTGGGGTTGGACAATTAAGGTTGCTCGAATGCCCACGTCTCGTGCAATAATCAACATTATCAAGAACTAATAGTATTAATTTGACTCATTTATGATTTATGTAATGATTTGACATATTTGAAAAATCAAAGAATTGCTAATCTTTTTTTAATTCGTCAAATTAATAGTATTAATTTGACTCATTTACGAATTTTTCATTCCGATTTTTTTTCGTAGGGCCTCAAAATATATCCACGAGGTTTAGATAATTGTTATATTTGATATTTTATTAATGATAGCTTACAAAAATTATATAATCTCTAAATTATTAATAAAATTAATACCACACTCGATGAAATATACGGGATAATTGACATGCACATAATCAAACATACCCACGTGTATATGTATTTGTGGGTTGTTATTTAACTGCATCTATAATTCAAAATCATCCTGGTATTTCTAGTAGGATCAAAAAATAAAAATAAAAATAGGTCGATGTAAATAGAAGTATGATTGTGTGTCAATGTGGAATATGACATGTGTGCACTAAATATTATTTATTTACCAATTTACGTGAAACAAAGTGTTACCCATTTTATTGGAACGTGTATTATGAAAAGGATGTGTATAGTGACAATTAATTTCAATTCAAATTTAGTGATGCATGCACAAAGATTTTTCACCCCTTTAATTTGGTAAATTATTCAACTAAATTGCCTTTGGACCAAATTAAATGATGGAAGATTTTCTGGCATTTACTAATTTGTTTATAGTTTATCATAAATAATTATAAGAATAGAATATTTCATTCAATAAATAAAAGATTCTTGTAAAGTTAACTAAATTATTGATGCAGAACGTCAACTTCGATTAAAATTAATTCGGAGAAGGATTATTATTGGTGGAAATATCAAAGGACATTATGGGAAAAATAAGGTTTATTTCGGATGCTATCTCAAGCGAACGGGCTCAAGGAATAAAACTCATGAGCTAAGCTCATGAATAATCTCAGATTTCGGCAATCCAACATCGTTTTGATTTCTAAAAGTTTGTTTTGAGGAAAGTTATAGATAATTAATATTGAATCATAGGAAATTAATTTGGATTAATATTCCATAAATTGGGTTGTTCTTAGAATTAAGAGATCTACTTGGATCAAACTTTAACTCGTTGCTGCCGTTTATGACAATTCTTAGTATTTTCCTAATTCCGGTTACCTATATTGGATTACATGAGATTGGATTAACTCCCTACTACTGACTAATTAATTATTTAGTTAGTAGCATGTTCGGTTTCTTAGATTAGATTTTCTATTAAATTTGTTAAAATCAGTTATTATATATGAATTGTCTATAAAACCACTTAGTTTATAATAACAAAAAATATAATTTTAAGGATAAAATTGTAGTTTTCCTTTTTAGTCACCCACTATTAAATTAAACTCAGGGGGAATGTGCTACTAATTTAATGAAATAGTAGCATTCAATAATGAGCTTTGATTTTAGTAGCGAGTTTGAAAAAGTGTGAATCTTACCAATCGAACAGCACCGTATAGCGGTAACCAAACGAGCCCTTAGAGTTTTCAATTTCATTAGTATAATTTAATTAGATTCCAGAATTTTGTGGTGAATTCTAGAGTTAATTCGTTTTGTATTTCGTACAAAATAATTATTTTTCACAATTTCGTTCTACATCAATTTTACATCGAAGGATTATTCGTTCTGATAGAAATATGAGACTAAAGTAAATCTAAATAATAAGATTAAATTTATTAGTGAGATTTTGCCTTTCAGAAAATAGTTTTTCTTTCCTTACAAAAAAAAAAAAAAAAAAAAAAAAAAGTAGAAGTTATCAGTAATGCAAAAGGTAATAATAATATATTCCATATTTAATTAGGCTCACCTAATTCGGCTTTTATGCCCATAATTGTTTTGGGCCACAAAACTAAATGTTTAATTTTCATATAGCTACATTTTTTATCAATTTCAGCCCAATTCAAATAATCCGTTGAGTAATTTTATTTTCTCAAACAAAATTCCATTTCTACTTTTTTCTTTTCTTTTCTTTTACTTTATTAATTATTAAAAAGAGCATATTACCCAAATAAACTATATGGTTATAACTTATTTCCACATCAACACACTAAATAGAAAATAATAATATAAATTTATGATAATAATAATCCTAAACAATTCGATCCAACGCAAAATCGGTCAGCTTCGGTTTATGGCAAAATTTATTGACACATATTAAAGAAAACTAGGCTAAATTACAACCACCCATGAGGTATGGTAAAATTACGAAGAACCCCTTCTATTTGAGTAATTATAACAACCCATCAACTATAAATTTTCTTACACGTCCACCCTTGTGGTTTCAAATTTAGTGGAATCTTCTTGATTATATTGACTTCACTTTTGTACCCGTTTCATCCCATTCGAGTTCCACATTTTGAAGCAAAATGATTATAAAACGTGTTTTTTGGCTTGTATATATCACATTGTGGTGCATCAAAAACTGTATTTCTACACAAAACGAGTACAAACTGGAGCACATTCCACGAAATCTAGATGATTATGTTGAATTTGACACCATAAGGGTAGAGGGTGTAAGAAGATTCATAGTTGAGGGGTAATTGTAATTATCTAAACAAAAGGGGTTTTCCGTAATTTGACCATAACTCAGGCGGGTGGTTGTAATTTACCCAAAAAACTAATAAGCGTACATAGATTCTAGAAGAATCATAATAAAATGACTAAAAAAACACTTTCATAAATGTTTTACCTTGAATTGTCTTAAGAGTAGTAAGGGCATAATTGACAAAACACAGTAAATATACTTCATTGAAATCCTAAAGTGACAATTATTTTGAAATAAAAAAAATTCTCTAGAAAGACAAATAAAATGGGAAGATCCAAATGACAAAATACCATGATTTTCACAACGTGTTTGTATCTGATTTTACTAGTGTCTTCACCTCGTTTTTCATAGATTTCCAAGATTGGTTAGAGAAATTAATATTTTCTTCACAACCCCAAATTCGCCATTCGGTAAATTCACTACGTAAACTCTCCCAAAATTATTCGAAATATATTTTATGAAAATTCATCATAATCCAATTTTAAGTTTTGAAACAATAAATAGCTTTCAAAATTTCTCTTCAACAAAAAGTGATAGTTCATTCCTGTTATTTTTATACATACATAAAATATGTTTTTCTTTATTGTAAGTGTAATTAATATTTTTACTTCAGAAAATTTTGAAAGAATAATATTAAAATAATTGATGATGGAAGTCTATTTTTTTCATCTTTCAATAATTTAACCATTTATATATTGTATAAATTTCTCATAAAATCAACAAATTTGGCATTTATACTTGATCTGTTTTAAAATAGTATTGTTAGTTTATTAGATTTAATAATGCGTTTGTAGTATACAATATAGTAATAGTTAATAACGTTAAATAAGAAAATTATCCCAAAAATGAAGTCCTAACTCCTAATTACTAGACTAATTATTAATTATAGGTAGAAACTAGCTAGTAACCAAACTGTAAAAAATTCTAAAAGTTTATGTAGAAACTTGTTGATATACTTCTAGAATGTATTAAAATATGAGTTCTACGTATTCATCCTCAATTGTAGGATTAAATTAGTCACACACCATTAACTAGGGAGTAGAATACTATTTATAGGATGAGCTAGTAGAATTTCATTAGAGTTTTATGCAATGTACAAACAACGTTTTGAAGAACACAACCTACACTGTACAACGTAATGGCAGTTGTATGTACACCGGCAGTTAGTATAGCTATACATAGTTAATATATATATATGTACGGCTATCGAATCTCCGAGATTTGCTACATATAATGTTTTGTCCCAAATTAGTCAACATAGGCAACACGAGCCCATCCACTCCACTCCCCGTATCTCGTTCAATTTTTCCATTTTCCTTTGAGCAAGGACGGACGCTTGTTTTATTATAGCCGCGGACATATGATCTCCATTTGATAATTCTATAATTAATAATTAAAATGTTTTTTTTCATAAATTATCGTACTTTAATTTGAAGAAATTAATATATATATATATATATATATATATATATATATATATGTATATATATATATATATATACATACTAATGACAAAATATATCTTCAAGTTATATAATAATAATAATAATAATAATAATAATAATAATAATAATAATAATAATAATAATAATAATAATAATAAATATTCGAAATGAAAATAAAAATTTTCTATGTATAACCTTTTGAGTTCAGATACCCATCCGCTATATGTTTCTTATTTTTGTCACAAATTCGGAATTCCTCACTAAATCCACATATAAATTCAAAATCTGCACTAAGAAATGTTCTAACTGTATTTATCATTTTTTATTTTCTACGTTTAATATATGTATCTTCGTTACTATTACGTCTAGCATTTTTATTAGTCTTTTTTTTACACAAAATATGTTTGTTTCCTCTTTTCTTTTTCTCATTTTTAGCATTTTTTACACTATTATAAAAAAAAACTTATTTTGTTCCTTTTCCTATTGCAAATTTCGATTTTCCAAATAGCAGGAAGATGTAGATTGTGATGAAATTACTGTCCGAAATGTATTTTCTCCAATAGAAAAAAATACAAATTCATGATATTTTTTAGATATTATTATCAAGTGTATAGATAGTTTAATTAAAAAATTATGCTAAAAAACTTGTCCAGAAAAAAGAAAAAAAAAAAAACAATTTAATCCAAATAACAAAAAAACCAGTAGCGGCTGTGCTTTGTTGGTGACGACGTCCGAAAAGAAAGTATAACAGCCTCTCACTTCTCACTTCTAACCATAGCCCAATCTCTCTCTCTCTCTTCTCTCTCTCTCTAAATCCACAGCTAGAGCAAAGAGAAGAGATAATGGAGATGGCTATCGGCTCACACCCAACTTGCAAACTCACCCCTACTAAATCTCTCCTCTCTTCGTCAAGAATCATCGAACCCTCTAAATTGAACCCCATTTACAGCTCTTCGTGGCAGAAACGCCAGTTTCATGGCAGAGCTTTATCCATTAAGACGAAATCTATTAATTCAAGAACCCCTCTTCGTAATTCCGTCAAGTGCTCTGTTACTGAAGCTACGGACAGTACCACCGGTATCAAATTATGATCCCTTTTTTTTTTTTTTTCTCAAATTTTGTTAGTTTATATCTGAACCAGCGTGTTGGGTTTTTGCTGTTTGATGTTGTACTATGTGATTTTGATTAATTGATTCTATGGTGTTAGAAACAGTTGTGCATAGATGTTTTTGTGTTGCTCTGATTTAATTTAATACGATTTATTTATTCGGCTGCTGTTGATGATGAGTTGTTTACTTATGTGTAAGAGTTGTGTTCATGCAATTGAAAAAGGTACTAAGGTTGGAGCATACTGTGAAGTGTTTTATTTAACAGCACGACTCCAACGTGTTCGTAGAAATGCCTGTACTCGATTGAGCTCTGATATTTATATGTTTCGTATAATTGTCTTCTTAGAAATAAAACCCCAGTTGGTAAGAAGAGACGGGATACGGAATATAGCAATTGTTGCACACGTTGACCACGGGAAGACCACTCTGGTCGATGCTATGTTGAGACAAGCTAAGGTATGTTAAATAATTATTTAATCTTACTACAGATTGACTAGATTACTCATTACTATGATTTGTTATGGTTGTCGATTTGTTGTGGCTGAATTATGTTTCTTAATTGTGCAGGTTTTTCGGGACAATCAGTTCATGCAGGAGAGAATAATGGATTCGAACGATATAGAGCGTGAAAGGGGAATAACAATTCTCAGCAAAAACACGTCGATTCAATATAATGATACGAAGATTAATATAATCGACACTCCAGGTCACTCCGACTTTGGAGGTGAAGTGGAGCGCATTCTCAACATGGTCGAAGGAATTCTTTTAGTGGTACTACTTCCCTCCGAAATCCTTGTTTGATCAAGTTGATGATGTCATCATTTCGTTTATATTCATAAGAATCTTTATTCGTTCATATTGAAATTGAAAATACAATCTGTTGTTATATAGTTTATTATTATTATTTTTTATTTTAATATTTGTAGGTAGATTCTGTGGAGGGTCCAATGCCACAGACGAGATTTGTTTTGAAGAAGGCTCTTGAATTTGGGCATGCAGTTATTGTCGTTGTCAACAAAATCGATAGGAGTTCTGCTCGGCCGGATTTTGTCGTTAATTCAACTTTCGAATTGTTTATCGAACTAAATGCAAATGATGAACAGGTATGTATATATATATTTGCGTATCTATCTCTTGTTCTCTTCAATAAAGATCAAACCAGAAAGATCAATATATTTCGTAAAATTGTTCTTATTGCAGTGCGATTTCCAAGTTATATACGCGAGTGGCATCAAAGGAACAGCTGGACTTTCACCTGAAAAATTGGCCGATGATCTTGGACCACTTTTCGAGACCATCGTTAGATGCATACCGGGCCCACAAATTGCTAAAGATGGTGTTCTTCAAATGCTTGTTAGTGGTCCTTCTTTATGTTTATTTTACCCTCTTTCGTCATTTTAATGCATCTATTAAAGAAACAAATGAAGTTGTGATAATATTTTATTGAAAGACGAAAAATGCATTTTGGCTCCGTTGGATGTATTTCTCTCATCTGAGAATGGTCTAATGTTTTAATCACTACTGAAACATTTTTTTGCAGGCTACTAGCATTGAATATGACGAGCATAAAGGGCGTATTGCTATTGGACGTTTGCATGCAGGTGCATTGCGCAGGGGAATGGATGTGCGGGTATGCTTACTTTTGAAGACTTAATACCGATTTTTTTTGTTACAATTTTATTTGTAAATATATATATATAAAAATCTGTACTTTCTTCAGATTTGTTCGTCAGAAAACGAGTGCAGATTTGGTAAAGTGAGTGAACTTTTCGTGTACGAGAAGTTCAATAGAGTTCCTGTAGACACAGTAGAAGCTGGCGACATTTGTGCTGTTTGTGGATTCGATGATATTCAGGTATGAATATAATTGAAGAAAGCTGATACTGATAAAAAAAAAAAAAATTGTGATAATAAATATAATTTAATTTAATTTTAATCCAGATTGGAGAAACAATTGCCGATAGAGCTTTTGGAATGCCGCTACCCTCGATTAAGGTGGAAGAACCCACAGTGAGAATGGCTTTCTCAATCAACACTTCGCCTTTTGTGGGCCGTGAGGTATAATAATAATATATTTGGCCGAAAATGAAATAAAATAAAATAACTATTTTTATGAATTTTTTTTATCGAGATTTGTGTTTTGTTTTGTGGAATTTTAGGGAAAGTATGTGACTGGAAGAAATCTGAGAGATCGATTGTTCCGTGAGCTTGAGAGAAATTTGGCAATGAAAGTCGAAGATGGTGAAACTTCGGACACACTCATTGTTAGTGGGCGTGGTACTCTGCATATCACTATATTAATCGAGAACATGTAAGAGACAAGTGTATACATACACAATGTAAATTTTTATGTAATGCATACATCTTTAAATATTTCTGATTTGTTCAATTCTTTTTCCAGGCGTAGAGAAGGATACGAGTTCATGGTGGGCCCACCCAAGGTTATCAATAAAAAAGTGAATGACAAGTTGTTGGAACCTTATGAGGTGTGATTATTTCGTTTCTTATATCTTTCTTTTCTTTCTATTTTTTTTTTCATCTAAGTTTCTGATATCTTTACAAGGCATGTAGAAATGGGTTATAAATGTCGAAATTGTTGAGATTTATGTGTTAGTGTTATTTCTAATTTAAAAGATATATTTGGTGTTTATTGCAGATTGCTATTGTGGAGGTACCGGAAGAATACATGGGCCCCGTAGTGGAACTTCTCGGTAGAAGGCGCGGACAGATGATTGATATGCAAGGAACTGGGTACAAACTTAGATCACTTCCATAACTATTATCGAATACACACACACACACACACACACACACACACACACACACACACACGCACATACTAAAACAATGTCTTTGAAACAATGTTTTTTTTTTAATAATTAATAATGAGATGTTATAATCGTGTTCTCGTATTTGCCTTGCTTTTAGAGCGGAAGGCCAAACTATGATGAAATACAAGATACCAACAAGAGGCCTCCTCGGATTGCGAAATTCGATTCTCACCGTTTCTCGAGGCACAGCACTTCTCAATACAATATTTGATGAGTATGGTCCGTGGGCTGGTGATATTAATACCCGTGATTTGGGCTCACTGGTAATTATTTATTTTCAAACAGCATCTTTTGTCAATATTTATGAAAGGGCCCTTTTCTTTTATTCACAATTCATTTTTGTTATACAAAGGTTGCTTTTGAGGGTGGAACGAGTACGTCTTATGCTCTAGCAAGTTCGCAAGACAGAGGGCAGATGTTTATTCGCCCCGGTGTTGACGTGTACAAAGGTCAAATAGTGGGCATTCATCAACGCCCGGGCGACTTAGCGTTAAACGTGTGCAAGAAAAAAGCCGCCACAAATGTCCGTTCGAATAAAGAAGTATCAGGTGACATATTATTATTATTATTTTTTTTTACAGAAATATATATTTACAAATTGCTGTTTTGTTCAAATAAAGCTCCTACATTTGTTTTCACATGTTTAAAATGGGATCGTTGGTCACGTTTTTGCCTTAATTTCAAAATCCCACAGTTATAAGATTTTCAAATAATTTGAAGTAAATGTGGAAAGTTACAAATAATTTTTTTTTTATCTTTTCTAAGTTGGTCCCTTGTTAGGGTTTTATCGCATTCAACACCCCTGTTTTTTCTCTAATTGCTAAAGAATTCCCCGTGTTATTTTATTAGCACAAACCCCCTATGATTCAATTTCATTAGCTAAGTGGCCCCTAAAAACTCATTAGTAACACGAAGAGATTTTTAGCGATTCGAAATATCAAAGGGGTACTGAATGCAATAAACTCTCATTATTACTACTTGATAAAATATTTACACGAGTAAATTTAAATTATTGTTAGTTAGTTTGTTTCGTTAACTATTTTCTCGTCTGGAAAATGAAAATTCTTGATTGGTGCAATGTAGTGGTTTTGGATACACCTGTGGAGTTCAGTCTCGATGACTGCATAGAGTACATTCAAGAAGACGAGCTCGTTGAAGTTACTCCCGCTAGCATACGCATGTGCAAGAACCCTAAGATGCTCAAGAAATTCCGTGGAAATTAATTGATTTTATTTTGTTATTATTTTTATACGAGCAATGAGAGATTTGCTAACACGACCCTTCGTTGAATTTGGGCGTGGTAACAAGCGAATGAGAGTTCGCCAGCTGTCGATGGCTGTAGCGTTTGATGCTTTCGACACTTTGTAAAGGTCTTTTACGAAGAGATGGGGAGATTTTTGAACCTTGAATATGTGAGGTGGTGGTTAATACTTGATAGCAGTGTAGAACTGTTGATATAATTATATTGGGATATTTATTATTTTTGTCAAAAAATATTGATCTTTTTTGTCTGAGGATTATCTTAAAATGGATTAATGTTTTTTTTTTTCTTTTCAAAATATAAATTATGTAAAATTATAAAAAAAACTCTCTTGTTGGGGTAATTACAACTACTGTCTCAACTATAAATTTTCTTGCAAATCCACCCTTATGGAGTTGAATTCAACAGAATCTTCTAGATTATGTGACGTGTTCCCTATTTGGTATTCGTTTTCCGTAAAAATGAAATTTCTGATGCACCACAATCTTATATTTACAAGTCAAAAACAACATCTTATGATCCTCTTGTTTTAAAATATGGAGATGCAATCGGATGAAATAAGTAGAAATTGAAAAAATATTTCATATAATATAGAAGATTTAACTAAATTTGACACTGCGTATAAAATATACTCATAATTTAAAAGTAATTGTAATTACTCAAACAAGAATTTTTTTTTGTAATTTGACTTCAGCTCAGGAGTGATTGTAATTTACCGAGAACTAAAATCGTAGACCAACATAGTCGTTGGATAGCCACAATATTTTTTTTTTCAGGAATAGTTCATGTTTACTTAACCAATATTCAAGTTTGACTTTTTCAGAATGGGTAGAAGCGCGTACACGCCTAAATTATTTCAAATACATTTGACATTCAATTCAAAAAAGTAACTAAAGACCTTTTATTTATTTATTTCTTTTATTTTATTTTATTGTTTTTTAATATTTTTTTGGATATTGGAAGTCCAATTGCCGAGCTTGACCAAGCCAATGTAAATGTAGCCTTCTAAGAATGTACCAATTCATCACATGTTGCCTGTTGATTTATTAATTGACTAAACTACCCTTATAGTACTATAGGGAGCTAATTAATATTAAATAAAAGTATATTATTTAATTAATTGTAACTCATATCATCAACCAATCAAAGAAAATATTACATATATATATATATAAGAAATGCAAAAATATTACAAGAAGTTGGAGGAGTCCAAAGTCCAAACCTAGAAATTTGAGGGTGAAATTTGCAATTAAGGCAAACTCCAGGCCCTCTTATGCAAACTTATTGGTGGGCTTCTAGAAAGCTGCCCAACAGTTTCTTAACCACCACACTCCACATTTACGTTATGATTTTATGAACACACGATTTTTCAGTGAAATGACCTTTTTGCCCTTGATACTTTCACAAATTTCCCAATTGAACCATTCCTCCATATATTTATTAAAAAAAAAGGGTTTGTTTTGAAACAAGAGGTCATGATGTTGTAACTTACAAATGTCAATCCAATTTAAAAGTCAAAATGATTTCATTGCAAAATTAATTTGTTTTGGGGGGATCAAAATTCAATTTCTCATAAGAGTGCTTTTGGACAATTAGGGGAATAACAAGGGTATATTAGTAAAAACAAGTATCCGTGTGAAATGTCTTATGTCTATCACTCTCTCTCTCTCTCTCTTCTTTCTCTCTCTACTACTTCTTCTTCTTGAGCTGATACATTAAATTCCTCATCTCAACATTTTCTCTCAAATCCCCAAACCCTTTCCCCTCCCCTTAAATCTCCCTCACGAGCTTCCCACAGTTCTTCGGCATCCCTAAATTTGACGTAGAAATTTCTCACAGACTTTTTCTTTGCAAAATCTTCAAAGATTTGAAGTTTGTGTAATTGGCTTTCGAAAACCCATCAAATATTGTGGAAAAACCCCACTAATTTATTCCCATTTTTCGTTTAATTTCTTTCATTCGTGTTGATTGTCGAAGTTGGGTACTGTTTGTACTGCGATCTGTACAAACCCAGTTAGCTGAAAGATCAAAAAGAAGAAGTAAATTGGGGTTTTTACTTGAAGATTTCTCCTCCTTTGACTTGTCTGCGGTGCGCGTAAATCGGAAGAACCAAAAATTTGATCGAGATTTTTAATGGGTAATTGTTGTACATCCCCCAAAACTTCCGATGAGAAAATCAGGGGAAAGCACAAACCGAATCCTTTCTCAATCGACAATGGCGGCCACGCAGTACCAAACGGTGGGTTCAAATCGTTTGTATTGACCAATCCAACGGGGCATAATATCGAAGAGTTTTACGAACTGGGGCGCGAGCTCGGACGGGGTGAATTCGGTGTCACGTATTTGTGTACCGATAAAACCAGTAAGGACGTGTTTGCCTGTAAATCGATATCGAAGAAGAAGCTGAGGACGAGAGTGGATATCGAAGATGTTAGGAGGGAAGTCGAGATCATGAAGCATTTGCCTAAGCACCCGAATATTGTTAGCTTGAAAGATACTTACGAGGACGATTACGCCGTCCACTTGGTTATGGAGTTGTGTGAGGGCGGTGAATTGTTCGATAGGATCGTTGCGAGGGGGCATTATACTGAAAGGGCTGCTGCAGCCGTGACTCGTACGATTGTCGAAGTTATTCAGGTGAAAAAAAAATACTTATCGAATATTCTGCGTTTTTGTAATTTATGAATTTGTTTGCATTTTGTGTGGGGTTTTGCCAATCGATTGTTAGTAGTTCTTGATCAATTGTCGGGATGTGGTGTTTTTTGAGCACTCGTGTTTACGCTTGATAGTCGAAGCTTGGTTTAGTTAGCTGCATTTGTTGGGCTTATTGACATCTGTTTTCAGTATCGAGACTTTTGCATGCGTTGATTGTTTTGTGGAGTTTGAATTTGTCATAACCACAAGTCTACTTTCGTGACATGCAAATTTGTTTCGTCTTTGTCAAATTGGTTCCATTTTTCGTGCTGATTTGCTTAATCTTTCTTGATTTCAATATTCTAATAGCTTCGTTCTATTTGCAGAATTGCCATAAGCACGGGGTCATGCATCGCGATCTAAAGCCCGAAAATTTCTTATTTTCAAATAACAAAGAGACGGCACCGCTCAAGGCCATCGATTTCGGGCTCTCGGTTTTCTTCAAGCCCGGTAAATGCTCGATACTCTCTATTGCTCAGTTATACAATTGCATTCTTGATTCTTCATTTCTTTACTCATTTATTCGAAATTGTATTACAGGCGAGAGATTCAACGAGATTGTAGGAAGTCCTTATTACATGGCTCCTGAGGTACTCAAAAGAAACTACGGTCCAGAAGTCGATGTTTGGAGTGCCGGTGTCATTCTTTATATCTTACTTTGTGGTATTCCGCCTTTTTGGGCTGGTAAGTTCTTTTTCTTATCTCGAGTTTCTAAAGCCTCGTTTGGTTATCACTATTAATTACTATTGACTAAATAGTAGGATTTTAGTGACGTGTTTGGCTGATAAGATTCAAACTAATTGACCAAACATCTTATTAACTAAATAATTAGTTAGTTAGTAGGGAATTAATTCCAATCGAGTCTAATCCAATCTTATCCTATATAGGTAAGAAACGAGGCTCAATCCAGTCTAATACAATCTAACCTAATCTTAATATAATCCTACATATATGATTACATATTCTTGACTTGAGATGCCTTTTTTAAATAACAGAAACTGAACAAGGAGTTGCCCAAGCAATCATTCGTTCGGTTGTGAACTTCACAAGAGACCCTTGGCCTTTGGTTTCCGATAAAGCAAAGGATTTGGTCAAGAAAATGCTAAACCCTGATCCGAAACAGAGGCTTACAGCGCAAGAAGTCTTAGGTAACTTTTTTATATAGTCCATTTGGCAAAAATAAAAATCGGATCTTGATTAGTTTTTATAGCTTCGTTTTATGACATCAGAAATCTTGACAAGATTTTTTAATGATTGCAGATCATCCTTGGTTACAGAATGCGAAGAGTGCTCCGAATGTTTCTCTGGGTGAAACTGTGAGAGCTAGGCTTAAACAATTTTCGATGATGAATAAGTTGAAGAAAAGAGCCCTTAGGGTAATTCACGTCTCGATATTGTGGCTTGTTTGGCAAATTTTGTGTTGTTGTACTAAATTGTTTTTAATTTGGAATTTCAGGTGATTGCTGAGCATTTGTCGGTGGAGGAAGTGGCGGGAATTAAAGAGGGGTTCCAATTGATGGATACGGGCAACAAGGGCAAAATCGACATTCATGAATTGAGAGCTGGCCTCCACAAGCTTGGCCATCAAATACCCGAATCTGATATTCAAGTTCTTATGGAAGCTGTAAGTACCTTATATCTCGATTAGCTGGATTTTACCATTTGAACAAGGTGAATAAACGAGTTTTTTGTTTTTTTTGGTATAGGGGGATGTGGATAAGGATGGATATCTGGATTGTGCGGAGTTTGTTGCGATATCTGTACACCTAAGGAAAATGGGTAATGATGACCATTTACGAAAAGCCTTTCAATTCTTCGATAGAAACGAGAGTGGGTACATTGAGATTGAAGAGCTGAGAGATGCCTTTGCTGACGAGGCGGAAGCAACCAGTGAAGAGGTCATTAACGCAATTATTCAAGATGTCGACACTGACAAGGTGACTTTTAATCCTATATTTTTTATCAAAACCAACACAATTCTCTCTTTTCCTCTAAGATCATTAAAAAAAAAAAAGACAAATCTCCATGAAATACAGGGGTAGAAATTGGAACGGAATATCCAAAATTTTCCAATTTTGGAATAATATTTTTCATTCCGAATTCCGTAAGTCCGAATCCAACTTTTTTTTGGATCAGAATTGGAATATATACGAGATTCCGATTTCCGATCTGATTTTAGTTTCCAAAAATTACGTTCATAATGCCAATGTTATTATGCATTTTATATTTTAGGTAACTAAAAAGTAGAAATTTTACGAATTCCGCTTATTCCGATCCGAAATTTTCAGATTTTGGAACGAGGTTTTTTTCGTTCCAATTTCCGATTTTTCTTGGAACTGAATGGGACTTAGTTTTTCACTTCAGAAAGAAGGAAAAAAAAAACGAATTTTTCTGATTCGAGCTCTTAAGCATGGGCAAAGATATTTTTGAGTAGCAGTGGGGGGGGCCATGCCCCCCCCTGATGAATCATTTATAAAGGAACAAGACAAACCTATCTCCTTGATATAGTGATTGTCCTAAAATGGTTTGTGTTGGTCAGATATTTTATGACCTAACCATTGATGAAAAAACGGGATTTAGTGTTTTAAAACGGAGTATTTGATCTTGCAGGATGGAAGAATAAGTTTTGAGGAGTTTGCTGCAATGATGAAATCGGGCACAGATTGGAGAAAGGCGTCGAGGCAATATTCTCGTGAACGATATAATAGTCTCAGCTTGAAATTGATGACGGATGGATCTTTACAAATGAGCAACGAAGCTTAGTTAGGGAAGAAAGATTGAACGAAACATCTACGCAAACGCGTCTCGTTTTTTTCTGTTGGTTATGCTTTATAATTTATATTGCCTGTTTTGTTTTGTTTGGAGGAGGGATGAAAAAATGTGAAGCATTGTTTTTTTTTTTTTTTTTTTTTTTTTCTTGGAAATGTTTATAGTTGTAAATATTGCTACTAAACATAATTCAATTTATCTGTCCAAAAGCTTCTTATTTAAAACGTTTTCTTGTCCGATCAGATAAATTAATAATTTCGCTTGATTAATAATTTCTTGTGGTCTGGGCTCCGTATAAACGTACTAAATTACTAGTTTGATAATTTAATAATTTATCAGAAAAATGATTTCATGTATGTTGTGTATTCTAGTAAATAAAAAAAAAAAAAAAAAACATTAGAGAGTAAGCGTTTGAGTGAATCTCCTATTTTTAGATATTTTGTGGATTTTTAGATAAGATGAATTTTGAGTGAGTCCTATTTTTAGATATTTTGTGGATTTTTAGATAAGATGAATTTCAGCTCGCTTAAAATGCCGACCCGAGGTTTCACCATAATCTTTGGGCTTTACTTTGTGTCGCCGTACGATGGAAGGTGCGAGCGACGTTTTCCTCTTGTTAGGGTTTTATATACCCTTTTCGTAGGACTCCACTTCTTTGTTTGAGTAACCTTAATTGGACTTTATGTGCATATGTGTGATTCAAATATTCAATGATTAAAAAGTTAAATTCAACTATCCATATGTGTATTCATCCATCTTACATGTGGAGTGTTGTGTTTCACAAAGTTGTTCACAATAGACAAAAATCAAAGCTACTTAATTTTAGCTGAGATTTAGTAGAGAAATCACAATTGATAATCACTTCTTGTTTCTTTGTTTGTATATATTTGCTTATGTACACACTGATTTATGTGTATCTATGCAACATTTTATCCATATGTACGCGTACGAAACGCGAAAATGTTAAGAAGTTGAATTTTGCGTGCTGCATAGATTAAAACATCTGAAACACGACACTAAGCTGCAAATTAGATTCAGTGCGAGGCTTATACTAATAATCATTACTACTTGGGGAAAAGGAATGGTGGAGATCTCTTTGCATTCAAACTTTTTGTGTTTTGACTAGCCTCTTTTTTATTTTTTATTATTATTTTTCTAATAGGAAATTAATAAGAAGTTAATATTTGCATTTATAAAATTAGTATCAATATTTTATTATTGAAATGAACAATGATTGGAGGACCTAAGTGCAATTTTGAAAAAAATAGAGTTAGAATAGATGCATCTTTCAAGGCATTTGATTAAAGTAGCCGATGTCTTAACCCTAGACGATAAAGGAGAAATGAGAAAATTAATTAATTATATGTAAGGCTTAAATAATAATAATACTTGATTGATTGTCATGTAAAGTTGATTACCATTATTATATTTTACTATGCTCTTTTTAAAAATTAATTTCACAAAAGTTGATTCCTTTTTAAAAGAGGGAATTCATATCTCATATAGTGTAATCGAGTAAATTTTCATTCTCGTGTAATAGCTTGTAAATTATATTAAGAGTCATTTTGGCTTAAGCTTATTTTAAATAGCTGATAAGTTGCTACGTCATATTTTTTAAATTAGTTTTTAAAGTATTTGGATGGTGAACTTATAAGCTATTTTTACTCATTATAAGGTCTTTTGATAAAAATGTGAAATATAAGTACTTTTTAAATGATCTTAAAAGCTCTCTCTAACAACTTATTTCTTGAATTTATTGCAAAGTAATAGAGTTTGACTAGGTAACTAAATCCTAAATAATCTAGGTAACTCAATCGTACTAGAATCCTAATATTAGGAGAGTTCTATAATATAATATTCTCTAACACGCCCCCGCAGTCGAAACGTGACGAACGTGAAGACTGGACAATCACTTGCTAACACGCTCCCGCAGTCGGAACGAATATACTCCAAAAGTGAAGACTGGAAAAAAAGTCGCGAAACACAACGCTAGAGACTTCCTCTGTTGAAATATCTGCCAAATTTAAAATAAAAATAATAATAATAACGGGTGAGAGAAAAATAAACAATTTTTTTTTTATCGAGAGAGATAAAGAGAAGATATGAGAGGGGGAAGAAGAATAATTAAAAGAAGGATAGAGATTGAAGAGAGAAAAATTAGATTAACCGACTAAGAAGAAGAAGATGTCGGATAATAATTAGATTGAAGATGATGCACCACCACCGGGGAGGGAATAAATTGGGGTGGTGGTCATACTAGAGTACCACCACCGGGGAGGGAGAAAATTGGGTGGTCACCGCCATGGAGAAGAAAGGCGACTAGGTTTTCACCGCCATGGAGAAGAAAAACGGCTATGTTAAAAAACCTAAACCTGGTGCTCTGATACCATATAAGAAGAATAGAATAGGAGAAACAGAGAAATAATAATAATACGTAATAGAAACCCCCATTGTGTTATGAGTTGATTACATGGAATATAATAATACGTAATAGAGAAATATTGCAAGGTAATAGAGTTTGACTAGGTAACTAAATCCTAAATAATCTAGGTAACTCAATCATACTAGAATCCTAATATTAGGAGAGTTCTATAATATAATATTCTCTAACAGAATTTTTAAGATCATTCTAAAAAAGTTATCAAACACTTTTGAAGAGAATAAATTCTGAAACATTTTATAAGTTGGTTTTAACAGCTTATAAGTTTAGCCAAACACCCTCTAAGTAGTATAAACACGCATGACAAATTCAATCTAAAAAGTGTTTATACAACAATTCAAACTTGAGTTATTTAATTTTGCGCTCTCTTACTGCACAAATTAATCGATATATTATCGGCCACAGAGTCGATTCTTTACCAAATATTAAATGTCTAAGCATCCGACCTAACTAATGCGAAAAATAACACATGGATATGACAGATTTGCCCCTCAAGGGGCTGAGTAAATTGGAAATCAGCCACGTCACCCCCATCTATTTGAAGGTGTCCCTATTACTTTACTGCAGAATTTTGGGTACATTGTACAATCGTCTTATACGGCCATTGTGGGACCCACTTAGTAGAGTACAACTCGTGACTGCATGACAGTTGGTTGGTCTACGACGTCGTTCCATTATTAACGCCAAATGTCGTGTCCCTTTTGAACACAAGAATATTGCTAAAAAAATAAGGAGGAATTTTGAGACATTGAATATTAATTGCGGTGATTTAGCAATCTTGTTTAAATCAAAATATATAATTATGGAATCTTAAAGATCCTTACTATCTATTCCAAAATTAATTTTAAATAATTTAGCAAACGGAAGACGTAAATCACAGTAGACTAATCATGTGCGACAAGCTCGACCTAGCAACCGTTAACAAGAAAACTCGAATTTAGTTTGATTAACACATATTTACTTGCTCTAACTGCTAGGTCATTCTTACAGGGGTGATGCTGTATATTAAACTTATGGAAAATATAGAATGTAAGTTACGTAATTCGACAATAGTTGAAATTTGAACATAATTCGTACATATTTCGTTTACGTTTACATATAAAAATTTGAAGGTTACATATACTTTTCGGTTATAAATATTTTTGTTTTAAGTTATAAATATTGCTTACTAACAAGAATATTTATGAAATTCAAGATTCGAGTACCAAAGAGTAAGAGCCAATAAAGTGAGATGTTAAATCTACATCAAATCATTATATGGAGGACCATGAAATAAAATTAAAACTTATTGAGGGCCTTAGAATTTTATATAAGCCTAAGTTAGATAGAGTCCCCTTTGTTTGTAGTGAGTGTGGACTGCAACTAAAGTTATGCAATTGATGGAAATGTTTGTACAAAAAAATGATGGGTTTTTTTGTCACATTTAAATTGCATTTATTCGACATAGGAAAGATGCTTTTCAATAATTGCTGATTTTTTTCTTAAAATTACGAGTTTTGCATTTTAAATGAATACTATTTTTGGATATACAATGCAACTTAAAAGTGCAATTAAGATGTGACTTACACCTAATAAAGTATACCAATTAATATTTAATTATATAATTATGCATGTCTAAGTATGATTATTTGCAAATATTTGATGAAATTCTATGAGATACTTCATTTAAATATATATATTTTTCTTGGTAATGAAGGAACCCGCAACCAATCATATAGGTGCACTGCTAAATCTATATTCGATCACGTATAGTAGCTTTCAAACCTACGAGAAATGCAAGATACACTAGGTTAACTATGTGTGGCAAGTTTCAGCTAGCGACCGTTGACAAGTAGATACAAACCTGGAACAACTGACATATGTTCACTTGCTCCAACCGTTACGTCATTACTTCCGGAAATATTTACAAGATATCTCGGTAGTTCGAGTAAGGTACGATGAAATGCTATTTGATTTAATTACTAATATGGAGAAAAATACAAATTTGATCCCTCAAGTTTGCGCTAATTTTACATTTGGTCCCTCATGTTCACAAAAAAACACATTTGGTCCCTAAATCCAACAATTTTAGTCATTTCCGTCAATTTTCCGCTAGTAATGACGGAATCAAGCATATGCCCAAAGCTGCCTAACTGACGGACTAACTGTAAATTGTCGGAAATGACCAAAAGTGTTAAATTATTGAAATATGAGGGACCAAATGTGTTTTTCGTGAACAAAGGGACCAAATGTGAAATCGGTACAAACTTGAGGGGTGAAAACTGTAATTTTCCCAATTAATAAATTAACCAAACGATCATTTCCAGATTACACTGTGAACTGTGTGAACACATCACGTTGGTTAGATTTTGGTGGTAAAAAAAAAACTTGATTGTACAAAAAAGTGTTCATTAAACATGAAGCAACTCCGGACCACGTGTCATCTCTTGATTAGCTTCATTGCAGAAACTTGTTCGACCTTTAACGCGTTGCAGGGTATATAAACCCCAGGCGGTTTTACTCTTCAAACTCACAACACACCTCATTATTGTTTTGAACACTTTGCATTTCCACCTGCTCTCTGTTTTTGTGTCGGAAGAAGTTTGCATTCCGCACTGGAACAAGTTTTCTCTCTCTAGATTTTCTCTCTCTTCCTATACGTACAAAAATCTTCATCCGAGAGAAACTTGGTCTTTTTTTAGCTGCTTTTTGGTGGAGTTGAAGCACACTGAAAAGGTAAAATTTAGTGTTTTTTTTTTTTAATATTATAATTTATTTTTGGAATTATACTAAACATGTGAAGTTGCTACATGTGAGATATGTTTGCAGAAGAATTCTCTAAATTGAAGTAATGTTGATCGAATCGTGAATCGATCTCGAGTTTTGTAGTTCGTGTTTGTTTCGGAAGGCGGTTTAAATTATATTTCAATTTGGTGGAAATTATTTTGAAATGATTATGCAATCGTGAATAACTTATTTTGCCCGCCTATCGATCTTTTGTTAACTCGATCGCATTTTCGGAACGGCTTGATTTGATTGTATATGTTGAGCTTGTGTTGTACCTTCGAATCGATCGAAGAACTTGGATCTCTTCGAATCTTTGATATAGTTCATACCGATCACAGATTGATTTTCTGAATTTGTCTTATTGTTTTTCGATTTGTGCGCAGTTAATTCTCGAGCCACCGTAAAGCCGACAAAGATGACTGTCACACCAAACATCTCGGTCAACGACGGGAGCCTTGTGGTTCATGGGAAAACGATCCTCACCGGAGTTCCCGACAACGTTGTACTCACTCCGGGATCGGGTGTAGGTCTCGTCGAAGGTGCATTTATCGGTGCCTCGGCTTCTCGTAGCAAAAGCCTTCACGTATTTCCGATTGGTGTCTTAGAGTAAGCACTAACAAGTGTATATCTTCGATTATGTTATGTATGAAACATAATAAATTGATTTTTTTTTTTTTGACGGAATAATAGGGATGTTCGTTTCATGTGCTTATTCCGTTTCAAGCTGTGGTGGATGACGCAGAGAATGGGAACGTGTGGGAAGGATATTCCGTTGGAGACTCAGTTCATGCTAATCGAGAGCAAAAACGAGAGCGAAGATGCCTCGATTATCTACACTGTTTTGCTGCCCGTGCTTGAAGGACCGTTTCGTGCCGTTCTTCAGGGAAACGATAAGAACGAGCTCGAAGTCTGCCTCGAGAGTGGTGAATATATCAATTACACCCCCATAATCAAAATTCATATATATATATATATATGTATATGTATATATATTAATGATTAATGGAGTAATTTTTTTGGTGCAGGAGATAATGCGGTTGAAACCGATCAAGGACTTAACCTTGTTTACGTACATGCCGGAACGAATCCTTTTCAAGTTATTAATCAAGCTGTAAAGTAAGGCCCTCGTTTCTCTCCTTCGCGTAAACTACTTCTTCGTAATCGGTGTTTTTTTTTTTTTTTGCTGATTTATATTGAAATCGTCACTTTTGTAAAACAGAGCTGTAGAGAAGCACATGCAAACATTTCATCACCGAGAGAAGAAGAAGGTGAAGATCGACGATATGTTACAAATATTTGATTACATTTCGAATTTGAACGTGTGGCTCAATTTATGCTTATGTATATTATGGTTTTCTTGTAGTTGCCGGCAATCCTCGACTGGTTTGGTTGGTGCACGTGGGATGCTTTCTACACCGACGTCACTGCTGAGGGCGTTGACGAAGGACTTAAGAGGTAAAAGTGTCGTGATTTTTGCAAAAAAAAATCGTCTTAAATAACACGATAAAATCGGGATTCTTGCTTATTTTTCTTTTCTTGCAGCTTGTCGGAGGGAGGCGCACCGCCCCGTTTTCTGATCATAGACGACGGCTGGCAACAGATCGGGAACGAAGTCAAGGAAGATCCCAATTGTGTCGTACAAGAAGGAGCTCAGTAAGACAACCAACAATTTTCAGCTTCTCGTTTTTTTTTTTTTTTCATTTCAACGACTGAAATACAACGGAATAAATTTCATTACGAAAAGCTCACTCTCAAACACGCTTTTGCGTTCGATTTGTAGGTTCGCAAACAGGCTAACGGGAATCAAAGAGAACGCAAAGTTCCAAAAGAACACAGAAACCGACGAAGAGGAATCCGGCCTCAAACACGTCGTCCGAGATGCCAAGCAACAACACAATGTCAAGTAAGTTTCTTACCAAGATTTTACCTACAAAATCAAGAGTATCATTTAATATTTCTTATTATTCCGTCTGTATATACAGTTAAACCTTTATAAATTAATACAGTCGGGAATAGGGAAATTCTATTAATTTAGCAAATTAGTAGATTATCGTGTTAATAATTTAACGCGTTTTCAACGAGTCAGGACCCATTGAATCTATTATTTAATCGATGTTATTAATTTATCGAGGTTCTACTGTATATTCTTCAGATACGTTTACGTATGGCATGCACTAGCCGGATACTGGGGCGGAGTTCAACCGGCGGGTCCTGGCATGGAACACTACGACACCACACTAGCCTATCCCGTACAATCCCCGGGCGTAATGGGAAACCAACCCGATATAGTAATGGACAGCCTCGCAGTACACGGATTAGGTCTCGTCCACCCGAAGAAGGTTTTCAACTTCTACAACGAGCTCCACGCCTACTTAGCATCTTGCGGAGTGGACGGAGTCAAAGTTGACGTGCAGAACATTATCGAGACTTTAGGTGCCGGCCACGGCGGTCGAGTTTCTCTCACTAGAAGCTACCACCAGGCTCTGGAAGCTTCCATCTCGCGCAATTTCCCGGATAACGGATGCATCGCTTGCATGTGCCATAATACGGACGGGATTTATAGCGCGAAACAGACGGCTGTCGTTAGAGCCTCGGACGATTACTACCCTCGCGACCCTGCTTCGCACACGATTCACATTTCTTCGGTTGCGTATAACACGATTTTCTTGGGGGAGATTATGCAGCCTGATTGGGATATGTTTCATGTTAGTAATTTAATTCTCTACATTCATTTATTTGAATTTATATTATTTTTTTCTTGAAAAATATTTAATGAATGAGTATGAATTCATTCTACTGCAGAGCCTGCACCCAACTGCTGAGTATCATGCTGCAGCTCGAGCTGTTGGTGGATGTGCAATTTATGTTAGGTAATTAAATCCAATTCAAATATAAGTAATTTTTAGGGTAAATTACACCTAAACCCCTGAGGTATGCTAAAATAAGTTTAAGATCCCTGTAGTATCTGTAATTATAGCTACACCCCTGAAACAATTTCCGAAGCCAAGATTTCATGTACGACCGATATGCAGTATATTTGTTTCCCGGGGGGTCCGTTAATGCTACCATAGAAGAAAATTTATAAATCTTATATAAAGTAATAACGTTTTAAGAAATGTTATGAGAGTCATGTCACCCCTTAACTGTATGTCGTCTCCACTATTGCTTGAAACGAATTGTCTATTAGAACCCTAACAAAATGCTAATAGTCTCCACCACTGCCTGAAACTAATTACCAATACTACATGAACCTTAAAGTTACTTTTGCATACATCGGGGGGTGTAGATGTAATTTACTCTAATTTTGATTTTTATTTTTTTGGCTAAATTAAGTTAAATTATTTATTTTTGTTGGATTAAGTGATAAGCCAGGTCAGCACAACTTTGACCTATTGAAGAAGCTGGTTCTTCCTGATGGATCAGTTCTTCGTGCACAATTGCCTGGTCGGCCTACATTGGACTGTCTCTTTGTTGATCCAGCTAGAGATGGGATTAGGTTTGTTTTTATTTAATTTTTTAATGTTTTTTTATTAATTCAAAAATTAAGGAACTAATTACTTGCACTAATTGCAATTACAGCTTGCTTAAAATCTGGAATACGAACAAATGCGCGGGAATTGTGGGCGTATTCAACTGCCAAGGTGCAGGGTGGTGCAAGATAGAAAAGAAGACACGTATACACGACGCTTCACCCGGCACTCTCACTAGCTCCGTTCAAGCTACCGATGTTGACGGAATATCCGAAATCGCCGGATCGGAATGGAACGGTGAAGCTGTAGTCTATGCTTATAAATCCGGGGAGATTCTCCGTTTGCCTAACGGCGCTTCGCTTCCCGTTACACTTAAAGTTCTCGAATACGAACTTTTCCACATTTGCCCCATGAAGGTTCGTAATTTCCCTCTTGAGCAATTATTTATTTACAGCACCAAATTAAACTACTCTTTTTTGGGTAAATTACGAAAACCTCGCTGAACTTAGACTAAATAATGAAAAACACTCCACCTATTCGTAGTTACAAAAAAAGTTCATTTGATTAACTGTTTGTCGAGTTTTTCTAACATAAAATGTGTACAGAAAATATCTGAAATTGTGTAAATTTTATTCCGTATAATAAAAAAAATCTGTGAAAAGTCACACCGTAAGGGATTGGTGTAAGACGGAAACAAACCTTATGAGGTTTTTGGTAAATATGAATAAGTGGGGTATTTTTCGTTATTTAACAGTCTAAGTTCAGGGGTTGTTTCGTCATTTTACCATTTTTCTTTTTAATAAATACAGAAAATAGGGGAGGAGATTTTCTTTGCGCCGATTGGCTTACTCGACATGTTCAACTCTAGCGGCGCTGTGGAGGAGTTTGAGGTAGAGGAGGAGGAGGTGACACGTGTCACGCTGAAGGTGAGGGGCTGCGGCCGCTTTGGAGCGTATTCTTCTCGGCAGCCATTGAAATGCTTAGCTGGCGATGCGGAGACTGTGTTTGACTATGACGTGGCGAATGGACTGTTGACTTTTTCCATCCCAGTACCTAAGGAGGAAATGTACAGATGGTCGATTGAAATCCACCTTTGATTTCCGATTTTTCCGCTATTGATCCAACGGCTGAGGGTGTCTCCAATCTCCCTTGCTTTTATTGCAAGTATGGGAGAAAATAAACGGTATTAATTAGGGGGACTTAAAAATAAATAAGTGGAGTTAATTGCATTATTATGTAATAAATAATTTGTCGGTGTAATGTTTGTTTGTTTGTCAATTGTGATTTGTGATCATGTAACTTTTGGAGCTTAATCAGTGTTTTAACTTTTAACATATCTGTTGTCCAAGAATTCTTCACCTACCAATACTTAGTCTCGTGTCGTCCGTTTCACCGCATCCAACTCGCATCGATCGAAACCGAAACGGGTTGGTGGGCCATCGCCTTAAACAAAGCCCGTTTGCTATTTACGGTCACTTTTTCGTAGCCCGAAATTTCGACTGCGTACGATGATTCTTTGCTTTTGTCGCACATACCGTCAGGGGCGGACCCAGGGGCTTTTAGTTGGGGGGCCAAAATATCGGGGTGAATAAAGAGAAGGAAAAAAAATATTTTTTATGAGCTAAAAGTGTACAAATTTTAAATTTTGGGGGGCCAAAGTCTATAAATTAATAGATAAATACCAAAATGCAATTAAAAAAGTAATAGAATATAGGTGATTTTTTTTTTTCTGCAAGGGCGGGAGCCCCCAGGCTCCACGTGGTTCCGCCCCTACGTAATGCCTTTGTTTTTCGGAGATTCCTTTTGTAGTTTAAATCCATTATATTTCTAGCCGAAATAAACTCCCGATTATTTTGATCGGCAAACGCATTGACCGGCGAGCTTGTACGACTTAGTTCCTGCCTTGTCAAACACATCAATGAACTCCACACTGTTTTCGAATATCTCGAAATGTTTCGATTTTTCTTCTTGATCTTTGTAAACTCGATTGTAAAGCTCTATCCATTGCTCGTGTCTCTCTAACATGGGACGCTCGTTGTGGGACCACACGTGACATGGTTTGAGAAGCATATATTGCTAAGATTAGGAAGGTGAAGATTGAAAGTTTGGGAATAACTTTTTTTTAAATAATAGTTTTTTTTTTTTTGTAATTAGGAATGAATCCGGATCTATAACCGATCTATATGTATCATTTGATACAACCCCTTTTGAAGTTATAAAATGGATTTGTTAGACCCTGCACCCGGTGACAAACACCGGGTGGGTCTTCTGCTGCCCCGTGTCTCTTTTTTGTATTTTATAATATATTCCCCGCTAGGGTTTACCTTTAGGGGTTTTAGAAAAATAAAAAAAAAGGGACACGTTGCAGCAGAAGAACCACCCGGTGTTTATCACCGGGTGTAGGGTCTAAGGAGCCTATAAAATGGTGTTAGTGTTGTTAACATTGACCTTAAAAGAGAAGGGTCATTTACTTATAGTTTAGAGGGGAATTTGTAACCAATCTCATAGTGTCAGGGGGGCAAATTGTATTTTCCCCTAAAAAATATTGTCCCTTTTATCATTTTATTTCTTAGACCTTGTAGCACCAGAACTCGCTTGTTTTTTTTTCGAGGCTTAAATTAAAAATCGCCTTAT